GGAAAGTTTAAGTGTATAGACAGATATTTAACACTTCAATTTTAATGCATTTTCAGAAGAATGGTTACACAACAAGTATGCTGGCTTTCCCAGTCTTGGAAGAAAAAAGCAAAGTATTTTTCAGTACATGGTAACTGGGTTACCATGAAAAGAAACCACAGACAATTTTTCCAGAAGAATTTAATCTATTTTTCAGTCTGTTATTATGATCCTCATTATGCCTGTCATATGGGATGTACATACTGTAATTTAGAAGGAAGCAGCAGCAATTGGTCAGTTTTCTAACCAATGTAAATATTTTCAAAGCTAATCAATGAGTTTGGACACAAAAGAAATCCATTTAAAGTAGAAACAGATTCTGCCTAATTGGCACTGAAAATTCCAAAGACATCTGTCTATCCATCCAAGAGATGAGCATTTCTGTTGCTGTCAATGTTTTTATAATGTTAAGACATGTTGTTTTTTTTTTTAGCATCAACGCTGTTTACGTTTTTACTGTCTTCAGTAGAATTAACAATAGTATTTCCTCGACCACACAAACCAGTTCAAAAGCTTACAGATTTCTGTTTCAATTTATTTCCATTTTGCTCATCTGCAACTGAAAGTGATAAAGGAACGCATACAGCACAAGCTGCATGTCTGGCTTGCACTCAGTGAATGTTTTCTGAGATCTGGCATGCATAATTCACTCAGAGACTGAAACAAGTACCACAGCTTTGAGCTATCAGGTATCCTCAGCCTTTTAATATGCTTCTTTCCAAAGAGTTTTCTCACCTTCCAGCCTTTGAGAAGTCTTTTTATTTGTCTCATCCTAACTGTTCACCAGCTTAAAATCTCTCTATGCACTTCTGAAACAGTAACCACAGCAGTTAAGCTTCAACTCACCAGATGAAATGAAAGAAAAAAAAAGAAGAGGAACAAAAAGACATCTTCCCAGTGCTTCACTCACACGAGGTATATTTTCTGCAGAACATTTTTCATCCTCTCTACAAAGCCATTATCTGCTATCAATCAGCATGAAAGGAAACCTTCCTCTTTTTCAGATCTTTAACACTTTTCAACTCAGACTGGTTTCTCCCAACGAAAAGTGTCTGTCATTTCTTACTGACCTGTGACTGTGGTGGGACGGGTGTGATGTTTGCAACGTGACTGGAGATGGGCAAGATATTCAGCTGATCATCAATCACGATGCAATTCTTGCATGAGGCCAGAGACAGAATGAACCTGAGCAGTCAAGCAAAGGCAACTCAGTAAAAGCACTAGCAAAACTATTGCATCTTGGTGATTAATTAAACCTCTGTACTAAGTATTTACAGCAACAGCAGCTTAAAGCTAAGCTGAGACAAGTTCACATAACTGGTCATATGCCTTTTATCAGGAAAGATGCAGAACAGGCATCCACTTACAGGGGCACAGGCCTCCAAAGAAAACCACTAACATATGATGATCCACCGAGAGAACTAGAAAGTAATTTCCAGCATTTAAGCAGGAGGTAGCTGCATAGAAGTGAAAGACAACAATTGTGACAAATGCTGACCAGCAAAGACTGCAGTCAGTGCCTGGTTTACTCATCCTTCTAATTTCTGACAACACATAAATATCACCTGCATGCAAAAGAACAAATTTTGCCAATGGCTAGAGCAAGGGCTCAATCACTCAGTAAGAACTTTATAGAACAAAAGGAGAGGAATCGTGTTTAAAACAAAGTTCTAAAGCCACAGAGAAGACTCTACAGTGAGCAGTTCCACGTTTTATAGTAGATATAGTAAGCAGTGAGTACCTAAATTTCCTTTCATCTGTGTACATGTTTCTGTGCAGCATTTCAAGAGCAGAACTCAGAAGATTTTACAAATCTGGGCACATTTACACATCCTTTGTAATATAATGCTAAAATTTTGTATACAATTCCTCCAACAAGATATAACATTCATTTCCAGGACAGTACATACAGACTTCACAGAAGCAGCAAAGAAGCTTTATTTATTCTCATGCAAGCTTACAGGATACTTTCCTAATATGAATATACAGTGTTGCTCTAGACACCCTTCCTGGACATGCTTTGAATGCCTAATAACATACCTTTCATTAAACCGTCCTACCACGTCCTGGTGTGCCTCTGTTCTATATCGAGAGTGTACATCCTGAAACAGAAAGTCAGTCTGGAGAAGGAGCAGCACCAACAGTGACACCTACAAGATTATTACGCATGGGACAATCCAATTTGTTCCCCACTACGTCGCTCTCTCCATCAACACTGCATCCCAGGCTGGATTCTGACTTTGTTTGCTGAGACAATCAAATGTTGCAAATATTGCTTTAAAAACATACTTCTCCCACCAAGACTTTTCAGTGTGGTCTCACATATTTTTGTCTGATTAAAAGGCCACTTCTACTACATACAGAACATTTAAATCAGCACAGGGATGCTAAGTAAAAATAATTTAATGCTTTAATTCACCTACTGGCGTTATAAGCTGTCCCTGCTACAAGGTTAGGTATACTCTGTGTGAAAAAATTATCCTTAGAAATACATAGGAATGAAGCAGCTAATCTCACTTAGCACTGAGTCAGAAAACACTTTTTTGCTTCACTTTGTCATGTGTGCAAACAGCACAAATAATTTCCAAAACTACTGTGAAATGAAGACAGTTGAGCTTGTTGGCAGAACAAGGGTTGGTGTAACTGCCTAAACAAAAGACTCATTCCACGATAAATGAAAGAAGGAGCAGCAAAAATAATGGAAGGAAGACTACGACCCATAACAAAAGCAAAAAAAAAATAATCACTTAGCATCACCAAATGTAGCTGCCCATCTAAAACGGACACATTACATTGAACGTACCATGGTCATTGTATAGAGCTGCTTCAGTGAGTTCATTGTTCTCAGGAGAATTACTACAATTCCACCCCCTTCCACTGTTTCTACAGTTCTAGCTAGCAGGTTTGGAGTCAAGGCCTCAAAATCCTAGGAAACAAAATAAAAAACCTTCAAAGCTGCCTAGAATTCACAAGTGCAATAGCAACTACTAAAAAGAAGAGAAAAACTATAAACATTCTTTATCTGAGTTTAATTCCAGCTTAACATTTGCATTAACCAACTTCCCATTAAAATTCTACCCAGGAAGGCTATGTCACTCCCCACAAAACCCATAAAAGATAAGTAAGGCCATCATAACTTAAGTAACAGGAGCAACAAACAGAATTACTGCAGCTTTTAAACTCAAAGCCACCAATAATAGCACTATCAATGCCTCAAGCAAAAAGTTTAATTCTTTACCTGAAGCACACACATGCCAAAAGTGTTACCAAGAATCTTATGAGTTTCATTGTAATAGCAGTAGCGAATGTTTGTGGCTGCTATAAACAGTTCGAAAGGATCATCATCTTTTATGTTCAAGGTTCCACTTTTAATCTTTTTCTGCAGTTGCCTCATTCTCTTCTTCCTGTGGCTGGAGAACAAAACTTCATGTAAGTTTTTTTAGGAAAGGGTTTGAGAAGACTGCACTCGTTCCTAATTTCAAGGCTAAATGGAATTCAGAGCTCAGCCTCCAAGGAAAAGTCTTGCATTACACATACTGTATTCAGGGTATGTTCCCAAATGTCTTTGGCCCAAAGTGGTTGAAACCACCCAGAACCAGCTGGTTTTGGAAGAAATCATCTGGTTGGAATCATGTAGTTTCAAGTAACTCTTCCCAGCTTTGTGCCCAGACTGCAAGTATGCATGCAAACCTAAGAACTAACATTTTAAACTTTTTCTCAAATGAAAGCAACAGGAACATCTAATCTGCACTCAGCTGTATATACTACTGAGGCACTGAAGTTTTGGCCATTTGAGATTAGAAAAGAAAGGGAGAAATAGGCCCAGGACAACAGGGTTAGCGTTGGAGCTACAGAAGGAAAGCAGAAGTACGTAGCGTTGATGCCAACCACACTCCTGAAACCGAATTTTAGCTCTGGAAAAATCGAGCATCCTCTATCTCCTACTAAAATAAGACTTGTTTCTCCTGACAACCAAATCAGCCCATGCTGAGCAGAGCAGCCGCAGAGCTTTTCCTTCAGAGAGCACTCAGACATCTACTGCAACACGAAACATAAAAGGCACCTTACCTGCTAAAGCCCAGCTCTTTTTTGTAACACCACAGGACAGAGGGCCTGGCCTTGACAGTTGCCTTGGACAACATGTGGTGAAGTATAACCACCTGCCAAGACACAGGAACATCAATGCACAACCGCACTCATAAACTAACATGGGGCAATATATTTTTCAGCAGGGTCCGCTGAGACGAGATGGGGGCAAACCGTTTCAGATAAAAAGACTGGATGGAAGAAAATTTTTTACAGTAAGGGCAGTGAGGCACCGGCACTGGTTGCCCAGAGAGGTGGACGCCATCCCTGAGCCATCCACGGCCAGGATGGACGGGCTGCGAGCACCTGACCTAGCGCGGGTGTCCCCGCTCCCTGCAGGGGAGGCGGGCCAGATGGCGTTTAAGGTCCCTTCCAACTCAAACGACTCTATGAACGTTCCACGCTGACCTATCCTTAAGTTTGCAGCCACGGTATCCACCGAGCAACGCCGGGCAAAACGGAAGGGTATTTAAACGCGTCGTGAAGTTGAATCCCAGCACTCCTTCCCGGCACCGCAGCCGCGAGGCGCTCACCTGGTCCTTGCCGCGGTCGCCGACCACCACGAAGAGGCCCCTCTGCCGCTCCGCCACCCCGTTCTCAATCAGCACCCGGATTCGATTATCCACCTTGCGGCGCTGCATGGCGCCGGCCGAGCGCTCGGTCTTTCCCGCCTCCCAGCCGCTACCGACGGCTCCCGGCCGCACTCCGCACCACGCACCCCACGTGGGAACCGCGCGGCGCAAGGCGCGCGCGCCGCCGCTCAAGTAGGACCCCGCGCGAGGCTGCCCTGGCCAGCGCCTGAGCGCCGCGGCTCCCCCAGCGCGGGGCGGCAGCCGGGCTCGGCGGAAGGGGAGGCCGCGGGTCCGGACGGTGGCGCTTCGGAGAGCGCGTAGGCGGCGCCACGCGTGCCCGAGCGATGGCGCAGCCGGATGTAAAAACGGGCTGAAGCGCGCTTGAAAAAGTTTTAATTCTTTTTTCCCCGAAATAAACATCGCTTGCAACGTCTGACTGCTCGAGCGAGCGCCCCGCCATGGCGGCCCTGCGGCCGGAGAAACGGGCGGCGGGACGGAGCGCGTGCACGGCAAAATAACGAGGCTGTGTGGTGCGGTATGGTCCGGTAATGAGCCATTACAGCCTAAGAAACGTCAGTTACCTTGCTTCTCAATAAAAGCACCGCTCAAGCTGTCGGGTAAAACTGCAGCTGCAACGTCAGCCGAGCGAGCTGCCTGCACAGACACGGCTATTGCTGGCTCTTCATACCGCCAGAACGAGTTCGGAAGCGTTTAAAAAGCGCGTAACAGCATAAGGGAGCGCGCTTAGTACCGCTGGGCAGATGCTGAGATATTTAAGTTTCAAAACAGCAACACGTGCAATCAAACTATTGAATTCAAGCTCTTTAAGGCTGTGGAACAAACCTTGAGGAGAAGCCAGGTACCCAAACGAAATCACCAACACAACAGAAGCGCAGCAAGTCAATTCCTGAGGGATAGCTGTGGAATATTTGCTTAAAAGGACATAAAACATTGAAACTACTTATGTTTCAGGTGCTTACATACGCCACGAGCCAATTTGTTTTAAATGGAGAGGTAAAGAACTGTGAAGTTGTAGGAATGTTTAAGGCCATCGGAAAACCAGAGCCTGCAGGTTAACGAGAAGGTAAGTCTGAGAACTTATTTTGTGCAGTAGATGCATTACTAAAATTTGTTCTGAAATGGAATAGCCTTAAAAATTATGAAATATATATGAAATATATTTTCATTTAGTACAAGTGTAATGGATACAAAAAAATCAGCTGAACTCTTGATCCATTAATTAGGTATCTGAGCACATTTATACAAAGCCAAAACTGGACATCATAGTTGGACTGAGCCAGTTACACCTGCCTGATTTTCTCATGAACATAAAGGAATAGGGGAGATGGGGGCTGGAGAAACGTAACTTTTGGTGCAGCCCATGATCCCATTAAGGGCTAACGCTGATCAATTTCACTCAGTCACAACTGTCAAGTCACAATGTCATTTTGCCAGTACAGTTCTCTGAAACACTGCTCAAGTTGACTTTATGATGTCAATTTGGGAAACAATTTTCCTTCCTTCCTTCCATTAAAGCTAGACCTGCAGAATTACAAATAACAATTACATCATATTCAGAAAGCCTAGAATAGGATAGTACTTCTTCTAATAGATAAACCATTTAGAAAATTCGTTTCTTATCAGAGGCTTTTTGATAGCACACTAGAAATTCAACATATCCAGTTTATGAGACAGAAATCCAAGATGCTGCTTCTAAAGCTGCATAAAAGTAGATGAGGGTGAGGGCTTTCTTTCAGGTACAGGAAGAGACATTAAGTTTCTTTAAAAGTCCACTTACAGCTTTCCCTTCAGGTTACATCCCTCAGTTTTAACTTGAGATGATTTGAATGCAATATCAATCCCTAAACAGCCAGGTGCCGTGCTAATCATCCTTATTTCATCTTAGATGATGTGCTGATTGGGATGAAAAACAGTTATTGCCAGGGAATGCAAGTAGTTGCAGGTGGAGTTTTAAGGACCTTCTCCCTCTCCCTCTGAAAAAACATAATGGCCAAACAAAAGCAGCTGAAGTCATTACCTTTCTTCACGAGCACGGAGTATGCTGATCTCACATTAAATGATGGAATTTTGCCAAAGTTAATATAAAAACTCCTTGTACTTAATTCTGCCACTGAACATAAGAAATCTGACATTAGTACAAGACTGATTGCCCACTTAGCTTGTGATCTTGTGATGATTCCATCATCCAACTACAGTAGTTTTATAATTTATAATTACAAGGACACTATTGCAGTTTTGCAATGCATTTTCCACAAGATGATGATAACTATATTTAAGCTCAAGTTTTAAAAAGAAAACCATTCTCTTTTGAAGTTCAAAAGGAAAATTTTCTTGTTTAGAACAATTTTTTGCTTGCTTCTCAGACAAAGCACTGATTTTCAGGTCACCCAGAGGTAAAAGGTAACTACCCATCTTATCTGCAGAACTGATGGTGCCAGCACAAATAATTAAATGCCTTCATTTGTTCCACTCTGAATGCAGATGGAACACTGTAAATAGGAGCACAGATCTGAAAGACTGAGGCAGTTCTATTTGTTTAGTTGCAAAATGAGCTTTGCACGGACAAGAGGAAGAGCTTTATTTTTCAAGATGTGACTTCGACAGTCTTATTAATGGAATTTAATGTCAAGCAGCTTCCTCGTGTCCCTTTCTATCTACAGCAGACTTGAGATAAGAAATCTGAAGAATACCACACAATTTTGCCCACTGACACTTAACATCTGCACCTCAGATAAGCATTCATAACAAATTATTCTTGCAAAGAAACGGTAAAAAAGTCAGCTACTTAGCTTGGCTACGTCCAGACCTTCAAATAAAGACCAGGAGGGCCAAGAGCCTTCTGATCATTTACCTTATTCTGCTGGATTACAAAGTTTTTGCCCTATCTGCAATTAACCATAGGAAGTTACTGCTTTCTCACTATTATTTATCACACCTTGAATATTTGCCTAGGGTTAAAGCCATTTCAACACCTAATTATTCAAATGCCATTTGGGGAGAGAAGGACAGCTCGTCCATTCTATAGTGACAATGTACACGAAGGTAACCTCCAACCCAATCAAATAATCTGCCTAAAACATAAGGAATGTGGGATGTATGGAGAAGACTTTTAAGGTAATGAAATTCTCTGAAAGTTACAAAGTCCCAGCAGAATACACCATTAGCTATTATCCAGCCATCACTATCATTCTTGCATCTACTCTGGATGATGTCTAATCATAAGACTTCAATACTTTACTGCCATACCCTGCAAAGAAAAATGGCAGTTAAGCCTAGGATTTACTATAACAAAATCCAAAATTTGTATTGGTGGACTCTTTAGAAGAGAGCCAGTACACACAACTAAGTAGGACAAGATTGGCCTTAGGTACGACAAGCAGCTCACGATTTAAGTTATGCAACATGTCCAGAAAGGTCTGAAATGTCCCAGATACAGCAACATTAGGTAGAGACATCTGGAAAACTCTGGAGCCACCTCACACGTGATTTACTCAAGAATCCTTTTATGACACACTGCAGTGCTAAAAGCTGGCTCTCAAACACGTTGTATGTTATCACAGCCTTGCTACTAAATAATGAAGTCCCAGCTGGGAACAAAAACACTTCTCTCGCAATAGCTGCACACGCCAGAAGGCAGTCATTATTTGTCTGTAATGCTCCAAAGAGACTAATTCAGGGAAGAATCAAGTAAACCACCATGAGAGCAACTGATGTATGTATATACAGGCTCAAAAGTACGATGTTTGCCCCCTGGTGTCAAAACAAAGGGCTCTACAACAGAACCAGGCCAGAACTGCTACCTAGTTCACCTGCTTACCATCATTTTGTAACTGTTCCATGTTCAAAAGACAGATTTCTTTTTCCCCAAATGAAAGCAATCTCGAATTGCTTTTGATCTGAGTGCAACTCAGATCTAGAAGTAATCTAAGCAGTGATGGTACTTGAAAGCTCTGAAGTCCTCTCTCTCTCAATACAGTTCTTTAAAATGTGTAGCACCACACTTGCACTGCAGTGGACCAAGCAAAGAAAACAAGCTGGACCCTTACAATCAACCATAATGTTGACTGACAGACCCCCTGAACAGGCCAGAAAACCAGTTAATGAATCTATGTGCCATACTGTGACTCGAGGCAATTTTTCAGTATACTGTTTATTAGCTGCATGTATTGAGATTAAAGGAGTCAGTGCAAATTCCCAGATTAAACATGTATTAAGTACTTGTTTATAGTTATTATCGTTACACATCTCCCTCTATCAGCATACAGTAGAACAGCTATTCTAAAGACCATTTTCATACACGAAAAGGCTTACAACTTTGCATCTCAAATAAGAGGCCTCTCAAACACCCACGTTTTATTAATAAATTTAAATTATGCTTCAAAAAAAAAAAAAACTTAAGTGGAATGTTCTGATCAATTCAGTGGTCTTTAATTCAGTATGCTGTAAGTTCACTATCCAACTACAATTAACTATTGAATTCGCATTTGGTGTGCAACAGAAAAGGCTGAATAGCTTATATTCTACCAACCATTTCAAAGTAAGCTGATGCACACAAAAAGAAAAAAAAAATCACTGTTTTCTACATCAGTTCAGCATTAAAAGGTTTGTCTTTTTTTTTTTTTTTCCAGTTAAAAAAACCAATTGGGACTATTAGCTCAGTAACAGCTTCCTAAAAAAAGACACAGAACAGCAACTTCTTACCAGACTGCAGGTTTTATCTTTACACTGGCTTGGAATGTTCCTAGGCCTTGACTACAACTGCTGTGCTTCCAGCCATCAGCACTGTTTCAAGGTGTTTGCTGTGTAGCATTGTCTTCAAAAGCTTATCACTCCTCAGTAAAAACTCTTCTTGTTTGTGCTCTTCACATGTAAAATGGAAAAGTGACCTTACCACCTATCTGTATGCACTATTCAGCAACAAAGTCAAAAAATACAAGTTGTTCTGAAAGTTCAGTTATGATACCACGTAGAAATGTCCCTCTGGGCAAAACTCTCAGCAAAAACAACTTTCAGTTCTGTATATAACAGGTAAGCAATGGGTAGCTGTTCCTTAACGTCACCCTTCCACACGTGGGAATTACCTGATGAGCAACACAGCGCTTTTCTTCTTGCACATGCTATAAATGCAACACAACTACCAACACCTCTATGGAGGCAGCTATCAATATATTCTCCCCACTGCAGAGAGAGTGCATGTGCGCAAAAGTGAGGCACAAGTGATTTTCCAAAGATTATACCACAAGTATACAGTAAAAACTTGAGTAAAACTTGGTAATTTCCAGCTCCTAGTCTTATGCCATTTCTTCTAGACATTGCTGCCTTGATGAGAAGGAGAGTCTCCACAAGAAGAAAAACTTCCTAGATGTCACAGGTATTAGAATCAAATGAGAAAACGGGAGTTTGACAACTATTCAGGAAAATCTTTCACTGAAAAGAGAAAACCTTATGCAGTGTAAACCCGTTACATTAGATTTGTTTCAGTCGCTGAAAACCAGTGTTCAGGATACAATTTTTATAAACATGTTTTATTTGTCTTGCTTATACCATTAGAACTGTAACTGCTGGCTGTCATTTCCCTTAAAAGGGGAAATCAATTCAAACACATACTGGTGCTTTTCAAAAGATAGCAATTAAAAGGGCAGCAGCAGCGGGCATTTGAGATTTCTTAAAACCTTCAAGGCTGCAGGAAAGACAAAAGGACATGTGACCAAAAGTGTTATGATTATCCATTAGAGATTTCCATCAGTACCGGCATCAGTTATTTAGGTGATAATACAGCAAAGTCAAGTATTAGTGACAGACAATGTGCAAGTCATAAGGAATGATAGAGAGTACCAATCCTTACAAAAGTCATTGCTATCAAAGAAACTTAAATGTGTTTCAAAGAGATATCTAAATACTTCACATCAAATATACAGTGGCCAACCAGATTATAACTCGCACTTGTTGCAAAATTTTGTTGAAGTGCCAAATCAAAGCTTTTTTCTTTAAAAAAATTACACAGTAACATTAGCAGTTATGCAAGCGACCCTACATCCTTAGCCACAGTAAACGGGGCCCTGGTGCTGAGCAGCGCTGTAGCTAAGGGCGCTTCTTCTTTGTCAAAAACTGGCTATAAGCCTGCTTAGGGAAATATGCATCGCTACACGTCTGTAACTGTTCAGTGCTTCAGTTTAATATGAAAAAGCTGAAATGCAGTTGCTCTACCAAGCCACACTTCACTTTTTCAATCCTTTCATGGGAACATTTAGTTTCGTCACATTAGGTTTTGCCACCACAGTAATTCTTTATGAATTTGCAGATTATATCCAAATTTGTTGCATCGCTTTTAATGTCAGAAGTGAGTCTTTGCTTTTTCCTGCCACTTCAGTTAACCATGGAGAGACTGGATCACCCTGAAAATTGCCTTTTTTGCATTATTCTTAGCAAGGGTGAGGAATCTGAATCTCATGTGCAAGGCTCAAGATGATGCTTAGGACAGAACATGCAGAGTAAACGTTGTTTATTTCTTTCCATATCCAGGTAACATAAAGCTGGCAACTGTAGTCCTGTCATTATGGGTAATGAAAATAGTCCCTTTACAACAAACTTCCTGTAAGGGAGAACAAATAGATGATAACTCTTCTGGTAACATGTATAGTACACTGGCCAGTGTGTTTTTGGCGTTTCCACGTAATCCTGTGAATTTGTTTAATTCACTTGCTGAGCGTTCATTTGAGGCATCCCTCTGTTTGGTCTTGGGGGTCCTCCACGACCTAGAAAATATGTGAGAGGCATTGGGATTATGCAAGGAAACAAAACAGAAACATCAACCACCACCACCAGAAAACAAACCAAAAAACTACAAGCTCTGGTCTAAACTAGGTATTTGGGCTGCAAATGCTTTTCAGAGTTTCTGTATGTCAGAATTCAAGAGTGTACAGCTTGTCTTTACAGTTTTCACCTGTATCTCAATACCTTTCCCCCAAACTATGAAGCTGTAACCACTATGAAAAAATTTAGTCATGAGATACAAAGATTGAAACTGAAAGTTTTGAAGTAATGTAAAACAATCATTGGTTTACTGCAGTTTTAAATACTGCAAGCTAACTGATCATATTTTTACTTCCATTCTTTCTTAAGAAAGGGACTGTGTGCAGCTCACAGTGTGAGAGCAGGGAGCTGCTGGAGAGGGTCCAGAGGGCCACAAAGATGATGAGAGGGCTGGAGCACCTCCCCTTCGAAGACAGGCTGAAGGAGAAGGGCTTGTTCAGCCTGAAGAAAAGAAGGCTGGGGGGTGATCTCATTGCAGCCTTTCAGTACCTGAAGGGAGCCTAGAAACAAGAGGGTAATCAACTCTTTGAAAGGGATGATAGCAGCAGGACAAGGGGAAATGGTTTAAAGTTGAATGAGGGAAGATTTAGGATGGATGTCAGGGGAAGTTTTTCACAGAGAGAGTGGTGAGGTGCTGGCACAGGCTGCCCAGAGAGGTTGTGGATGCCCCGTCCCTGGAGGTGTTCAAGGCCAGACTGGATGGGGCCCTGGGCAGCCTGGTCTAGTATTAAATGGGGAGGTTGGCGGCCCTGCATGTGGCAGGGGGTTGGAGATTCATGATCCTTGAGGTCCCTTCCAACCCTGGCCATTCTGTGATTGTGTGAACTGTTGGTCATTTGGTGAATTTCTCTGTCAGCCACACATCACTGACAACAAGCATCAAGACTTCATTCATTATAGCTGAGCTTTCTATACAATGCTTTCAGCTTCACAACAGCCTCACACTAGGTTTAATTCCAAGCCACAGTTTCACAGGATGGTGCCTTCAGTACTAAGAGTCAAGAACAGAACTCTAAGTGCTTCCTCCTCAACAATAATGAGAATCTTAAGTTATAATCAGAGAGGTTTAAAATGTCCATATGAGAACAGAGCTCATCACCAAACATCTATTAGAAAAGAACTGTGGAAAACACTGCTGAAAAGTAAGATTTAGAAGTTCAACTGGAGGCCTCATGAGTACACTTTTGTTTGTTTCCTGTGATGAACACCTGGCAAACACTCCCAAAAAGCTACAAGATAAAATGCTTCCACTACCTAAAAGCAATAATTCTTCAGGACCATTGAAGAGAATAACACGTTGTATCCTTAGATAAAAAAAATAAGTCCTTGCAACAGATGCAGTAATTCATCTCTTACTGCCAAGTAAAACACAATTCTGAAGGCTGACAGCCAGTTAAAGCCAGGTGGTAGCTTTATTAATAAATTTTACTTACAAAATATTCACACATCTAACTAAGCAGATCTTAAGTTATGACAAATCTGGAGGAAAAAAAGAATCACTAAGTTTTTCATTATTATCTGCTACATTTAAAGCACCAAAAACAAACGCCTTTTTAATTGCTTCTCAAATCCTCATTGAACAGGCAGCTAAATTTCTGTAGGAGTTCACAGGATAACAGCGTAACTCCAGACAGAAAGGACCTCAAGAGGTCCTTCTTCCAAAGCTGAGTAAACTATGAAGTCAGAGAAAAGAAAGCCTATTCTTCAACTGGGATCTACTGAATAAAGGATTGAGGTTGCTTTAATACAAAACTCCAGAAATTGAATCAAAAGATTCCACTCAGCTCAAATCAAGCACACACTACTCAGGAATTACCTCGAGGAGCTCCCCGAGGCCCACTTTGTCCAGAACCACGTTTGAAGTTCTGCTGATATCCATCCTAAAGCATAAAAATGGGCAAGTTATGACATAAACCACACACATTTTCTTGGTTTAATAGTTACCAGTAAAATAAAGAGCTTTTAAAACAATCTACACTGATGAAGTACCTGTGACTCCAGCATACTGCACTCTGTTAGTTTTAGTTCATGTAAGGAAAACACATTCTTACTCCTACCAGTATCTAGCAGCTATAATAACGTAAAATAATAAATTCCTTGTCCAGTTCCAGGGTATTTTCTTCAATATAAGTAACAAATGCAGACAGAACTACTGTTCAGTTTTTTTCTGGACTGCACAGAAGTCAGACAGGGTTTCTCACAGGACCGGTCAACAAAATGAAGATTCTAACACCAGTATCAAAGTTAGCCATCTCATCTGTTTATAAATACATGTTTGAGGATGAGCAGTCATTTTCCAGTCAGTCAGACTAAGCTTTGAGCTCACTATACATTTCCTACAGAACAATGTATTTCTATACTGATTTCAGAATAGCGTATCAGAAATACTGAAGACAGGCAGCCCCTTACAAGCTTGAGAAGTTCATTTCAATGGATTTAAGTTCTGTGGTCCTTCCTCACAGAGCTGTGAAAACTTGAGAGAGTTTTTAACAATTCAGCTAACTTTGCTTTAGCTACTTCAGAGACCACACAGCCAAACAGTTCTCCCACTTATAACTAGCCATCTCAAATTCTGCTATT